ATATATATATATATATATATATATATATATATATATATATATATATACGGGATCACGTGTATTTTACGTTGATTCGTTCCCTTTAATGGCCGCCTGTTCGCAGCGAATCGGATGGAGATAGACAGGAATGAGGCTGCGCGAATTGAAGTACTTCAATCCGGTTGATTAAATCGCTTTTGGCTTACGAAGGCAACTAAGTTATAGAGGCAACCCTCGCATATTTTTTGTCTGTGCGCGCTAAAGATGCACTTTCGTTAGATTTCCTCAAACGTGCAAATGATCCAAATATTCTGCAAAAGCGTTGGTGTCATTTTATCGCAATATCACAGCGTTGTCGCGATATAGCGTAGCTGCTGCGAGATACATAAAAAAAATACGTGTCTCCCATTTTATAAAGCTGCGCGACTTAAATAAGCATTCTAGTTTCGTCTCTATGGCTTACATACAGCGGCCTGCTGTATACGATTGATCTCATTCGATGATTGTCTATGAGTTTTCTCGTCAAAATCCTTTATTAACCTTTATTATTTCTTTTCGAAAAAATATCGCGCTTTCATATGTTAAAAAAAAAAATAATTTTTATGATTATTATATTATGTCTTTAAGATCTCATTATTATTATTTTTAGAGAGCAATACTCATCCGTATCATCCGTTCTATCTGTTAGAGATTTTTATAATTGAAATTACATTGAGCGTGCGAAAATTAAATTCGAGATTAAAAGCTGACCTGTAATGGCCGTCCCGAATAGAATTTCTCAACGGATCAGCTCAACGGAAAAATGCGTTTGCGCCATTATACTCTTCCGCGAAGCTATCTCTAAAGTGCTCTAGGTTTACGAGAGAATCACGTTGATATGTTGGTACGTACGGTGAGGTACTCTATGGCATGGCAGTTTGAAGCGCCGCGACCGAAGACCAAGGCCAGTCGACCTTTTTCACGAGTCATTAAAGCTATAAGAAGAGGTGAATCGTTTTCTATTTTATTGAAAGTGTAAATGTCAGTGTAACTTACCGTTGATGCGTTAAACGACAAAACGGCTAATAACGCTATTCTGTTTTATGAGGCGCGGTTTAGACGATAAAGTATATATCGCGCCGCATGTGTCTCGCCAGTATATCGTGTATGATGTAGCACCGTTTCTCTCGTGAATTATTTTATTTTTTGTTTCTTGAATGGCGAGATGTATGGTCCGCTTAGTTAATATTCTACCGCTTCCCGTGTACTAAGCGTAAAATGGGATAAATGTACAAGAAAAGTGAATTGTCCGTTTTTTTTTTTTTTTTAACTTAATATATAACTTGCGTGCCACGCGGTTTTCCTAAATCGGGAATCTGAGGAGAAAAGCAAAAATATCTTTGTCGCATTATTTTATTAAGACCGTATACATGCGTGTACATTTTTGAAACTTATATTTAATCAAATCTTATCTGAGTCTTAAGGGCGATGTTTGATAAAATTTGCAATGTTGAACTACGAAAGATAAATGTACGGATTTTGCAAACCAGATTTCTCTCGCTTCTCCATGTCACATTGTAACAAATTTACGTTGCACATCGAGAACATCTGGCGAAACACAGTGAAAGTTACATATTGTGATAAGTTTGCATTACATTTAACGTCAGACATTTCGTAAATGCTCTACATCTTGCTTCGGAAAAGTGATTTGTACCGGTTGCTGCTATCGCTATCGCCGTATGTCCATTTCTTTTTCTCATCTGGTTGTGATAAATGGCGAAGTTGGAATTCTTGCCGAAAGAGTCTCGTGAGAAATCTACCTGACGTATCCAGGTTGGAGCAAGCCATTGATGCTACTTGCACGATCTGGTATCTGTGATTTAGAATTTTTCTTAAATTTCTACTTAGTAACATTTTTCCTATTAAATTCTGACATTTGATATTAATTCTTAAACGGCATACAAGAATTATTTATTTGTTTTATTATTTAACATTTTTTAGGTTTCTAAACAATATCTTTAATGATATATAAAATAAGTGTATGTATAAATGAAGACATGTATAAATAAAATAATTATAGAAATCATAAAAATTTAAAAAATTTTTAAGAAACGATATGGATATGGATTTACGTCATTTAAAACGTGTTAATTATTATTAGCCTTTTATTTTTTTCATATTCTTAAATAAGTAGCGGAAACATTTGACACGATTAAATCAGATAACAATATATTTCTATTTAATTTTTCAAAGATGAAATAATAATTTCAAGGATGAAAAATTTTATAACTTTTTTTGAAGGATGAGAATATGAAATTGCAATTTTTTTACTTAAAAAAAAATAGCAAATGGGATATATGGGGACTATATGCCTACCTTTACGTAATAGCTGTGCCCTACTTCAACGGCATTATTTTAACGTTGAGTTAACTGCGGAAAAAGATATAGTTTTCTCTCTCTCACGAACGTTACATTCATTCTCATTTTACTTTTCCCGTTCTGCCACCAGTTTCCACGAAGGCACTGGCAGGTGCGAAGAGTCTCGGCGGGTTCTTGTACAGCGCCGTGAACAAGGCTGGGAAGACCGTGGTGGAGGCCAGCGTGAAAATCAAGAAGACCGTCGAGGAGAACGTGAGTTTTTTCCATTGTCATTCTAATCCTGTAAACGTGTCGATCGATCCGGCTTTAATGACTCGCGTCGCTGCCCGCGTCGTCTCAACGATTTCAATCGGGTAATAAGATATATCTTCGAGATTAACTCCAATACCAGTTTATCCAAAAGATGCGCTAATCAATAAATAACTTGGATATACTTTATTAAAAAGAAAAGGGATTATCCCCCTATTTCAATTAAACTCACGTTTGCGATACTTACGTCCAGCTGAAAATTAGTGCATTGGCCTTACGTATTTTCTAGGAATTAATCGACAAACGTTTTACTACTAATTTTGTTTTGAACTACTTTTTTTTTTGACATAACTGCAGAAGAACTACTTAGCCGCGCTCGGCTTTCGTATCGTTACGTGCACGAGCAAATCGATAACACCGTTTTGATATTCTTCTCGCATATTATTCGATGTTTTCGCGTTTCGAGGAATTTTTGCATCTCGCATTTCGTGTATATACGGATAAATTTTAGTAAAGAAAAAACGATAGAAATAAACTTATTTTGCAAGCGTTTTTCTATGGATGCAAGAAAACGTATTTGTGCAAATATTTTCCTTCTTCCTATACGCTCTTTTCGGAAATTCGAAAGCCCGGCGATAGTTTTTTTTTCTCCCCCTTTTATCGGCATTGCGCTCTGTCGCTGTCGATATCGGCTCGTAGGATTTATTCTTTCGGAATGGCACGGGCTGATACATGTACAGGACGCGTACATATCCAATGCGCGATAGAATACGGTATCCCGTGAGAATTTGGTAAGTACACAAGTCGCGACGGCACTTCCGCGGTTGCGGTGTATAATCGCGCATTATGCATCTACCTTCAAAATTGAAGGAACCCCCTTGGCCCTCGCGATCAGCTGACTTTGTTCTTATAAAGCTTCCAGCTCGCAGCATACAAAATTTAACGCTCACTACTCGATGGACTCGATAGAATTCAAGTTTCCGGAATAATAATCAGTTATATAAAATTTATAGTAAAATTCTCAATAAAATTAATTGCGATTTTTCGTGGAGAAACATCGACGCGGTAACGTATTCAATGAACGTGTCGCCTACTTCTGCAATCGGTTTAAGTTAATCGGTCCGTCACGTGTTCTCGTTGGGAGTATTGTGTGTCGTCCACACTTACTGAAAGCTCGCTATCGCCGGTCATGGAACTCGCATCGATCAAAAGGCCTGCCGTCGTTTGCATTTGTGCATACATTTCGGTACATATGTGCCGTGATATGTGACGAGCGGGAAATGCCGTTGGTATCGACAAATTCTCGTACATGATGATCATTGAGAATACACGAATAGGCGAGATTTATTTCACGTTTTCGTCCTTTTTCGACTGCCAGGCCAGTGGCATTATTCGAAGAAACCACTTTTGTGTTTATACTTCGGTTATTATGAATGGATATCGGGGGTTTTGTACACTTTTGTACACTTGCCTCTTATTCTTTTTTTTTTTTTTATGGTTTTTTTATAGACTTGTCAATGGATGGATGGTGCACATTTGCGCGAAGCGTGATAGTCCAAAACTCGAAATGTAGGTCATTAAAGCGCCGTTGTACGATTCATCCCGTAATTTCCGCGTGACGACGTATTTTTTCCCGATTTTGCGCGCGAACAAATTTATCGCAATGTACTGAAAGAAAAAAATAGAGCTAATCTTGCATCATGTATATTTGAAAATTTATTTATCAAACAATCATTGATATTATGACGAATGGATGTATTTAGATACTTTGAATCATTTTACAACACATGAGAAGTGCAAGAAAGAAAATTTGAGTTGAATAATTTGCATATAACAATTAAAATTTTATCTATCATTAATCGAGCTGTCGAGAAATGAACTGATATGTCTCAAATGAATTCTCGACATATTAGTAAAATCAATTGGTATGGTAAAAGTCAATATTACCTAAATTATGAAAGTCAATAAAAAAAAAAATGATGAATCGGTATGTAGGTTATATGTAAGAATTTTATGAGATTCTTGGTCCAGTTTGATTATAAATATTTCGAAAATTATTACGATCTTGGCACTTCCGTAATTTCGAAATTTTTGACTTCAATTAATCTCCAGAAGGCATTATTAAAATATTGTATTCCGCGCATAATTAATATGTTCAAAATTTTTACGAAATCTTTATTAGCCTAACGTCTTTATATACATACAATAAATTAAAAATTTTAATATGATGTTAATATAGGACTAATTCAGACTATCGAATGGGGTCACTATTTTCTTGCCAGACACGTTTCCTAGCGGTCGTTGCAGTGATTCACCTATGACTATGGCACGTTCTCTGATACTCACGTGCACGTGACATGTAATTTCTCAAGAGGACCGTTGCTCCACGGGTATGATTGTCGCAGCATCCACTTGTCTCTCGCGATAATCTTCGATTATGAGTTGCACATCAGGGATATGCCGTCTGATCAGGTTGATATCACCGCTGATGCAATTAATGCAGACAAAGCTGCAACGATCTGTACAGACAATTTGAAGTGCAGACTGATTTGTAGAATTAAAAAATTGAAAAGTCTGGTTGTGACGTCGTCTAATAATTAGTACATTTATTGTTTTTTATGTCTGCGATTTTTTACATCATTTTTAAATTTAATGTAACTGTCTATCAAAATAATTGCATTAATTTAATTATAACACTTGGTAACATTTGTTACTATGACTGTTGTAGTAACATCGCTGGGGTACCATCGGTAACTTTAACGATGCGGGATTCATCGGGTTTACAATTTCGGCGCTTAGATTCTGGCTTTAATTTCAACCATATAGATTTATATTATGCGCAGACACATGAAGAGTGAGCACATATAATAAATTCGCGCGTATAATAAATACACTTGACGCTGTTACCAGGTACCGTCGAGCGTGTATTGTCGTTGTAACCAGCGTTACAGGCTGAATGTCCGATGAATAGGTACTATTACGTGACAAGCATCGACAAACAAAACGATGCTCGTCGAACGTACAGGAATACGTCTGCATTCGGAAATGTAGAGTTGCATTTAGACAAACAGGAAACATCGTATATATACACCGAAATCGTGCGTTTGTATACGCTTTTTACGTCACTCGCGTGTCACTGATTACAATCGGCGACATTGATGGGAAATTTCGTTTTACCATCGACGTTATCGTTCAATCGATTCGTTTATATAGGCATTATCTGGTCAAATTATATTGAACCGATGATTCATTTATATAAAATCGTTTTCTTTCCTTGAAATATAGAGCGCACAGTTTGCTGAAATTAAACTGATGCAGCAATTCGTTTTTTTTATTTTAATTAAGTTTAAAAATTCGCCTCTTAGATCATCTTGAGAATAAACGGGTCATATCTCGTAGATCTCGTAGATGTATCATGTCTCAGATCGATATCGTTATTAATATCTTCCGGAAAAGGTGGTGGTGCTCGACCCATTTTCGATTATAACATGTTAAAGTGGGACAATTCCTTTATTCACGCGGATATTTTATGAAATTGCGAGTGCGCTGAGTACGGTTGGTTATTCTCTAGATTTACTGATATTACAGCAGATAATGACAGAAACACTTTGAAACATATGTTGCTAAAGATACGATCGCGTTGACACGTGATAAGATTCTATGCGCTCATGCGTTACCTGATCGCGTGTTTCATTATTGAATTATGTAGGCACGAAGTGAACGATGGTACAGCTTTCATGGGTTGCTTTTGTTGCGATGACAACGTGTTGCAATTTTACCCCCTAAATAAACGTGATTTGTTCGTGAAACTCTGTCAACTTATTTTTGTAATCAAATTGAACAGATTTATTTGTTAGCAATGTAACGTAACGCGCGTGTTTTGTATTCACTTGCTTTGTATTTGTATTCACTTGCTTATTTCTCGTTCTTTAACTCGTTTTCGTTTTATCATCATATGAAAATCTTTCATTGCTCGCTTCACATTATTTTTATTTTACTATTCCTTGAATTATTCTTTCCACGAATATATTATTTCTATCTTCTACTAGAGATATTTTCTTATCATACATATGGAAATAATTTTTATCAAAAATCTAGAAAAATCTACTGAATTTTACAGGTTTTATCGCAGTTATAACTGATAATATATTCTATCATAAAAATTCTATTTTTCGGTCACAATCACGAAGATGAGAAGTTAGGGGATATTGATATTCACGTGATATCTACCTTATACCGTGATCTCGCTTCGCCGCGAGCATTATCTCATGTCAAATAAACGATAAAATATTTCAACACTTTCACTTTATCGTTCGTAGACACTGTCTGTTTACATCTTTATTTTTACTGGCAGGGATCTTGGAAACGAGATTTATGTATATCACGTACATTATCGATCACGCATCGTTATTTCCTTGTGAGCAGCTTCTGCTTTATGTTGTGATCAATATCGTCAGAGCCGTGCTTCTTTGTGAAATAGCTTGCCATTTATTGCGTTGCTTTCAGATCATAAAATTTTACATACATATCGCAGATACTTATAATAAATTTAGCTGTACTTTAAATTAATGAATATAACATCGATTTTTATTCTGTATTTT